GTGGAAAAGTAGTTATGAAGTAATGCGAGGATTACATCCAACTACGGATATAACTTTGAACTCCACTGCCCTCTATACCAATCCACGACACCAGAAATAGGACAATGCAAACTCAGATTTGGCCATGCCACGTTTCCTCATATTTTATACATTCAATATTTAATGTATCATTACCTTCTTGAAAATAATCCAAGAGATTGCTTGGGGCTTTGGTTACCGTTCTTAAGGAGCTTGGTGATTCGGTTGACTCATGATATGATCCTGCCTTTTTCTATTTTTCTTTTCAGTTACTGACCCCTAAAAAACAAAACAAAAAGGTTACTAGTGGCTTTCCAATTAATTCCCCTCATGACTTTATAGGAGTTATTATTGAGTTGCAAGAAGTGCAAATAACAATAATAATGATAACTAAAATTAGTAGCAACTATCATTAAGTGATGATCTAGTGACTAATCAATCATTAATCATTTTTCTCAGAAGTTAGTGAATATAAGAATCAGTGCACACCCACCTGTGTTCTTTTTCTCCTTTTGTTCTGGTCATCATGTAATCAGATTTTACATGGAGTTACTATAAACCATCAACACCCTCTTTTTTCGTATATTGTTAGAACTCTCGATACATATATTCTTGTATTCTATTTCATATTGCGAGGAGTCAAACTTTTATTGTGAGCGCAAGACTACACTGTCCAAATATCTAACAACGATGTCCTGATTTGGCATAATCAAGCATGACCAACTTCACCCAATTGTCAATGTTAATGAGTTTCACCATTGACACAGATGTAAAAATCGTCTATAGCTGATTTTGTTTTTGGGTTGTTTTTGGTTTTTATTTATTTATATATAAGTGATAGTCTAAAATAATCTAATCAACGAAAAGATTAATACAAACTTAGATGTAAGAGGGTGAACTCATTACCCTGACCTACTGACGTATGCTTGAAATTTGAATGTCACAACTCACAAACTATGCTGCTTTTTCTGTTATCGTTTTTCTGGCTAAAATGCCAATCCACCAGGTGCATTTAATTGAGCTCAAAAGGAGTTTATAAACGAGGCCCATAACTCTCAGCCTGTTGCAGAAGGGCTCATCGCATATCTCAAGCCCAATGTTGCATTTTTATTTTATTTTATGAAGAAGCCGAATGGTTTTTTTGTTGTTGTTGGAGAAGCCGAATGTTACACGGGCTTGTTATACCCTCGTCGATTTTATTCGGCCTCCAATTATTACAAGGAACTTTTCCTTCGCCATTGCTTCTTTTCACCGGCCTTTTGGCACTGTCCTTGATTTCTCCACCACTTCTTGACGTTTTCTACCATCATCTTTAGGCAAAGAGGTATTAGTAATGGCGGACATATTAAGACGCAATGAGGTGTATCTGCATTTTTTTTCGTCAGAAAAATCATTGTGGGTGCTTTAAATTACCCATTTGCTTAGTTGGTGATGGTGCACAGATTACTTAGCTGGTGATGGTGCACAGATTACCTTATTACCTAAATGTCTTTGTCTTTTTACTTTTATTTATTGTTATATTACTCTATTTACTTAAGTTTATAATGTAAATAAGGAACTACCCTCCATTTGGATTTTTTTTTTAAAAAACTAGAAAATCAAAATCCCACCGAATCAAAATATGAAAAATCGGTTTTAGTGAAAAATACAATTTATGCTAAAAATGATGGCTCATTAAGTCAATATGTACTTCATAATAAATCTCATAAAATCAAGTTTTCTTATTTGATGTGTAAGGAATAAAAGCCGCCAAAAATTATATTGAGAAAATGATTATTTTGAAAAACCTTTTTTCATACTTAGTCAATATTTTTACATAAAACAATTTTTCATGTATGCTATGAATGAATGAAGGGACCTAAGGTCAATCTGGGTAAAAAGCCTAGATGTTCAATTTACAAAGAGTTTTTAGCCTTTCAAAATTGCACCTTTACTAAAAAATTCATGAGTCCGCCAGTGGATATTAGGATTTTATTTTCTTGCAAATCGCTTTAACTTTGTTTGCAAGCAACTCCATTTGCCTAATTAGTTTTTCTTAGCCACCAATTTACTTTGTTTTGCTTGCAAGGCATATATATAATGCAAGTCAATTTTTCTTTTCTTTCTTTTTTCGTGAAAATTTATCGCTCAATATGCATTTTAGTTTGTGAGTATTAGATGATTGTTTAGTACACCATAACTCAACTACGAACTTAAAACTGATATTCCACCCTTTATCTCAACTTTCTCACATAGAGGAAATCTTCGGCCAAAAAAATATATATAGAGTAAATCTTTCTTGATTTTGTAATAGGTAAAAAGTAATTTTTGGTCATTGTAGTTTGTTGAATTTATCATTTAGTCCTCATAGTTTCATTTATGTCAATTTTAACTATGTAGTTTAAATTCCTCATAATTCAAGGACACATTACAAATTCAATTAAATTCTTTCAAAATACCTTTCCACGTTAGGAATATTTGCTTACTCTATCACGAAATTAGACGGAAATTTGGACATATCCTTAAATTGTGATGAATATCAAACTATATGGGTTAAATTGTTAAAATTAGAACCACAAAAACAAAAGTGAAAAATCCGATGAACTATAAGGAAAAAAAATTCACTTTTTGGCTTTGTAATATCATGAAACTCATACCCTCCGAGGGAGTAGACCTGGCAATATCATACACGACACGAATTCGTAAAAAAAATTCAGTATTCGGGTCTGTGTTATCGTGTTGTGTTGCTATTGTGTCAACCCGTTAGCCACACTGTAAGCTAATGAGTCGTTTTCGTGTGAATTCTCGAAAACACGAATCAACCCGTTAAGCGGGGGTATTTTTGTAAATTTATCTCTCTTTTTCCTTTTCTTTCTTCTCTTTCGTCTTTTCCTCCCCCATTCCCCCGATTTTCTTTGCTTTTCTCTTTCTTCTTCACTTTCTTATTCTCTTTCGTCTTTTCCTCCACCATAATTATGCAGCAACTTTTCTCTTTCTTCTTCACTTTCTTCGTCTCTTCCGTCTTTTCCTCCACCATAATTATGCAGCAGCAAATTGTCATCAATCAAGAGCATCAATTTATGAGGAAGAAGAGGAATATACTCTGGAGGTTTCAAACCCAAGCTCTCAAAGAAAGGTTCAAACTCATTAAGAGAGTGGTAGTGCAAATACCCCTATTCCATCTCTCTCTCTCTCTCTCTCTCTCTCTCTCTCTCTCATCCTCTTCCGGATCATGTGATTGTTTGTTTTTAATTATTTCATATTTCTGTTTTTATTTATATTTAATATTTTTTAATTCTTATCTTGTGAATCATATCGTGTCGAATTCGCGAATTGTAACGGGTCGTGTTTATATTGGGCATTTCCAACCCGTTTTCTTATCGTGTCATGTCATGTCATGTCAACTCGTTAAGAAAAACGAGTTGATACAAACACCACACAAACACTGATAACACGACATGAATGCCAAGTCTACAAGGGAGATGAGATACGCCTTGGTGTCTGATATATTCACGACATACTTCGATAACATTTCTACTCCCAATAAAATTATCGTTTGTTCCCACGTAACCCTCCATTTAAAAAAGTGGGTCCCAAATCCGAAAGCATGAGTGGATGGAGAGTAAAATGCGTATAATGCATGCATTAATATAATAGGGTTGAGTGGGAGGCTGAGATCAGTCCTCTATAGACGGCCGACGTAGGGAATCAGTGGTCCATTTTTGTCATCATTCCCCCGGTATCATACCAACACCTAATTGTGGTATCAAACTCTAAATCATTGTCTTATTAGTGGTTCTATTAAACAAATAATCTGCCCACTTTTAAATATCGCCCTCCACTTTATTTGTATTTTACCAAAGTGCCATTTCTCTCTCCTCTACTTAATCACAAGTAATAATTACTAAATTCCATTTTTACAAGTCAAAATTAGCATTAAAAGTGCTTGCTGGTCTGAAATAGGGACTCATTCTTTGTGTGAGACGAACAGATGGTAGATAGGGCAACTTCATGTGTGTGTCTCTGTGTTCTGATTCGGATTTCATGGCATGTTTCCTCTATTATTTTAGATTTTGGTATTACCTTGGCAAGCATTCCCAAATAAAAAACACACTGGCGAAGCAGATCGGCAAAGTAATATTGATTTGATTATAGCTTCGAATTACATCGAATTTGATACGATGTCGCAATAACAATGTACGTGTGGCATATACTCAAATTGTATCAATTGATCAAACTATATGGCAATTGATATGAAAATGCGACTACTTTACCATTATTTAAAAATCAAAATATGTAACCAACTAGCTTTTATTTTAGTGGTAGTTTTCTTTTAATATTGAACGATGTTTCAAGTCAAAACTTGATACTCTCAATTATTTAAAAATAAAATCATATATATGTATTTTAAAATTTTGTTTAAATAATTCTAAAAGTTGTAATTGAAAAGTAAATGGGAACGTATAGTCATTTTTTATGCTTTTTTTTTTAGTGCTTAATAAATATGTATAACAGCTATACTACGTGACCGTACTATTCTATAATTCTCCTATGAAAGTCTGTGGGTTTTCCCTGTCATCTCTACTGTCCAACAAATTAAAGCAAAATACAACCAACATACATAATATATTAAATGTAAATATCTCTTGAAGGAAGAATTCTTTTTAATATAAATAAATAAATTCTCTGGCCATAACAAGTTTTTTATAACAAAAAAATAGTAAATCCCAAGCATTATGTCTGCCATTTAATCTGCAAATTTCTTTGCCCATGTCCTCCATAACCATACATGCCCCCACCATGCACTTTGGAAGGGCACAAAGTACAAACCCGAGCCACAGAAGGGATGGCAAATCCGTAATTAAACCAAGTTTCCAATGGCAAATCCCACCACTGTGTCCTTAAGCTTTATATAATTTCGAACCATATATATATGTGTATATGCTACCACCATTTGCTTCATCGGCAGCTCCTAAAACTTCCAAAACTCACCACCCCAAAAAATGCAAGCCAACCCCAACCCCTTCCAAATTATTCCCAAACAAATCTTCCCTTCACTGGTAAAGCTACTTCCGGTGCACCAATCTCCGTCACCAGTGCCCACCAAACCACCGCGTGCCATATCAATCTCCACACCCAACGAAACCGATCGCGGTCCAATTTCCATTTCAACCGTAGACGTAGTAGATGACTCCGTGGCTGCATTTTGGGACTACCAATTCCTCTTTGTGTCACAGCGCTCCGAACAAACCGAACCCATCGCGCTCAGAGTCGTGGATGGTTCGGTTCCATCGGACTTTCCCTCCGGCACGTACTACTTGACAGGGCCGGGGCTCTTCGCCGACGACCACGGCTCCACGGTGCACCCATTGGACGGCCACGGCTACCTTAGGGCTTTCAAATTTGACGGGTTTGGCGAAGATGTCAAGTTCATGGCCAAGTACGTGAAAACTGAGGCTCAAGTGGAGGAGCACGACCCTTTGACTGACACGTGGCGGTTCACGCACAGGGGGCCGTTTTCGGTGTTGAAAGGTGGACAGAAAGTTGGGAATACTAAGGTGATGAAGAATGTGGCGAATACTAGTGTGTTAAGGTGGGGCCAGAGGCTGTTGTGTTTGTGGGAAGGTGGGGATCCGTATGAGATTGAATCTGAGACGTTGGATACGATTGGGAGTATAGGTCTGATGGACGGTTGTGATTCGGGGGGGGAGAGTAGAGAGAGAGGTGGCGGTGTATGGGATGTGGCTGCAAGTTTGCTCAAACTGGAGAGTAGAGACCGAGGTGGCGGTGTATGGGATGTGGCTGCAAGTTTGCTCAAACCAATTCTGTACGGTACGTGTGTATGCAGAATATAATAGATGAACAAAACAAAGTAAATTGCTGAATTTTTAAAGAGAAAGCTTTGTTTTCAATCTGTTTCAGATGGGCATTTGGAGAATAATATTAATTAGAGATTAAATTTGGAGAAGATGACGAGAAAATAAGCATGAACTGAGCTGTAAATTTGGAGAGTAAAGATTAAAATATTTGTGCAAATACATATAAGTTATACACATTCGATATTTAACTAATAGTCTTATATAAAAAGGCAATGGAAGTTTTTGTTTAAGCAGATCATGACGAGAAAATCTAAGCAGAGAATCCAAATCTACGTTTTATTATATAGTTGTTTAATATTGTTCATCATACTAAGAGGTATATACCTTGTACAGGAGTTTTTAAGATGCCTCCAAAGCGACTGTTGTCTCATTATAAGCTTGATGCTCGCAGAAACAGGCTTCTTATGGTGTCGTGCAATGCAGAGGATATGCTTTTGCCATGCAGTAACTTTACATTTTATGGTAATTAAGGGCATATGCATGAGCCCTTTTATTTAATGATTTCCACGCTCTAATTTTATCTATTTATACTTTTTTTTAGTTACAAAATAGAGTGTAAGTGGATAAAATTGAAGTGGGGAAATCATCACTTTTATTTAATTATTATGTGGATTTTTGAATATATAATATATATTGTTTTTGGTTTTTGTGCAGAATATGATTCAAATTTTAAGGTGTTGGGAAAGCAAGAGTTTAACATACCTGATCACTTGATGATCCATGATTGGGCTTTCACAGACACTCACTATATATTATTTGCCAATCGCATCAAGCTTGATGCTGTCGGTAGGTTAATTAAATAAGTTATCGTCATTTTTTAAATTATATATTAGATAATTATATGCGATCTAGAGAATATTGAAGATCCTTCCATCTTTACAAGGTGAAAGTGTACTCACCAAATGCACTAGGCCTCACAATGCTTTTTAAATTTTTTTTTAGTTGAATACATGTAAAAGTCTAAACTACAGGAAGGAACATGGCGTTCCATTGAAAAGTAAAATAAAAGTTTCATGCTTAGGTGTTAAGTTTGTTAATTTATGTAAAGAGGCCTACTATATAAAAAGTAAAGAAAAAGTCTCAATTTTTTTTTTTTGAATCACGCCTGGAAAGCATCAGTTACACATATAAAAATCATTTTTTTTTGCTACTATATCTCTAGCGTTAAAAGGTGTTATAAGAGGTCTCATTTTTTTGGGATCCTGTGCTATCACCCAGCCCGCACAATCTGTGGGTTGGGCTTGGGAGGGAGGTTTCTCACACACGCTATCAAGGTGTAATGGAAGTTCGAACCTGAGACCACTAATTTGTAAGTCAATGCTTTTTTTCAACTGGATGTTGACCACTTTTTAATCATTTTAGATTATTGCTCAACGATATGATTGCTAATGAGCTATAAATTAATAGGAAAAAAAAAAAAAAACCTTACTTCATACAAGATTTCACCTCCTTTTTTTGCGGTTAATGTTCTCCACGTTAGAAACAATTAGAAAGGATGGCCAATGGTTAAAGTTTGTGCAAAAGCATATTCGATACAACCATATTGTTGTTGGTTAAAGTCCTACAAATTTATAGTGACAGACAAACATATGTTACATCGTCAGGTTAATTGTCTATCAATTATATGTTGCTAAGGACATATATTATGTAATCAAACTGTCGAGATAAAATTACTAAATAATATTAAAATGCAGGTGCAATGACTGCAGTTTGTGGGACTTCTCCTATGATAACAGCATTGTCGGTGAACCCTAGCAAGGCCACATCTCCCATATATTTGCTTCCTCGGTCTCCTAATGAAAATGGTCGAGATTGGAGAGTGCCTATCGAAGCTTCTTCACAATTGTGGCTCCTACATGTAGCCAATGCTTACGAGAATCTGGATGAGAATGGGAATTTGGAGATTGAAATACATGCTTCGGCTTGCTCTTACGAGTGGTTCAATTTTCAAAAATTATTTGGTAAATTTTTCAACTCGTGACATTTAGTCTCTACTTTGTTCGAGAAAGTTCTGACTTCAAATCTCATTACTATCTACAACTGCTAATTAAGACTTATTTTGATATTGCTTCCATGGTACAGGATATGATTGGCAAAGTGGTAAACTAGACCCCTCGATTATGAACATAAATGGAAGCCAAAGCAAGACGCTACCTCATCTTATTCAGGTCTCCATAAACTTGGATGTGAATGGAAGCTGTCAAAGATGTGATGTGGAGCCTTTAAACCAGTGGAACAAGTCATCAGACTTTCCAGTTATCAATCCAGCCTTTTCAGGAAGCAAAAACACATACATATATGCAGCAGCTTCTTCAGGTTCTCGCAGTGCATTGCCTCACTTTCCATTTGACATGGTGGCCAAGCTAAATGTTTCAACGAAATCTGTGCTTACATGGTCTGTTGGGAGCCGGAGATTCATCGGAGAGCCCACTTTCATCCCCAAAGGTTCTGAAGAAGATGATGGTTACATTCTTGTAGTTGAGGTAATACATTTGTTTTTTTTTTTACTAAAAGAATTTATAGACCCAAAAAAGAAGAAGAAGAATTTGGGTGTTCAAAATTCTGAAGTGAGACTTATGGTATATATGTTTCTTGTATTGCAGTATGCAGTTTCAGTTCAAAGGTGCTATCTGGTTATCTTAGATTCCAAAAGGATTGGAGGAGAGGATGCACTAATGGCAAGACTTGAAGTTCCTAAGCACCTAAATTTTCCTCTTGGTTTTCATGGTTTCTGGGCCACTGCAGAGTAATTTCACTTTTGGTTAAAGAAAAAAAAAATTAAGAAAATGTTAGACAGCCCACGTAATATGGGCTTTACCCCTCAAATTATAGTCACGTCTCACATTGTTCTTCAAAATTTAAAGTGACTCACTTTGCTTCCTTGACTGATGTTTTGCAATTCACTTTGTCCCTCCATCGTGAAGTCTGTCAAAAATTATTTTAAAAACACTGATGTGGCATGAATGGAATCCACTTTTTGTTGATATGTACGTCACATAAGTGCCACATGTAAAAAAAAATTCTTTAAAAATAATAATTTAATAATAAGAATAATTTTTGAAAAATTGCTCTCTCAATCTCAACCATCACACCCCACCCCTTCCCCACTGGCGCTGCACTAGCCACATGTTTGTGCAAATAATCTCACGGGAGAATATTCGCTTCTAGATCCTTCAACCTTCGATCTTCCTTCTCTCTCTTCCTCGATTCCTGTAAAACAGATTGGAGTAAATAGACCACACCCGGGGGGTGTTGGCCAAAGGCCCTCCGATGCCTAAGTTAGTTCGACTGTTTGTAGAAAACAATAGCTAAGCAAAGGGTACGGAGTAGTGTTTATGTAGGGTGTGAACCGGGCGGCCGGAGCCGTGTGTGGTGGCCGGAGCCGTGTG